CCGGCTCCAGGAATCTCTGAGTCACTCGATCCACGCACCACGCGACTAATGTGCGCTCCTCCGTCCTCCGTCAGCTGCTGAATCTTACGTGTGTCTGTCCCGTACCCACCTTCCTTGGCCTCGAAAGTCGACGCCCGGCGATGACCGAGGCACACGAAGGGGAACTCGAGAGAAGTTCTACTCTATCCGGATATCCGGATTACTTTGAGCGTTCGCTCAAAAAAATTTGACGAAGGTCTGGAGAGAAAGAGCATGTTTCTTTCAAGAAGAAACGCTTTTCAGTTATAATTTATGACATCTAATGATGCCTTAAAATTAATAATAACGATCATTCTTTGATATAGTTCTTATACAAATGTTCAGAGTTTAGTAGAGTTTAATTATTAATGTATACCGAGAAGAAAACATATCCGCGATATATCGCTTGATCATTAGATTTTTACGACTTTAATATTCTACTGGCCCGATTTTTTTCTCAGCTCTCCTTACCGCGGAAATAATAAACCAATGGTCCGTAGAAAATCGGCCAGCGTTATAAATTCTAGTACTGTTTGTTCAGTAAAATCTCGTACGTTATGTTTCGTGTAACGAATGGCGATAGTTTCATAGAGAAATATCATGGGTTTAACGACATATATTCCAGAAATTCAAAGCACTTCACAAATATTTCAGCGGCATTACGCGAATCCGCGGAAGCTTGCGCGAGATGTATAATACGAACTCCCACGACATTCCTAAATGAGAAATCTGACCTACTGTACCGAACGGTCAACACATATACACGCGTGACATTTTCCGTAACAGATAAACGCACCACATTTCAATCGACAATTGACCTTTAAAAAAAGACGATGATAAACTAGATTAAATTTCGCAATGCAGCAAAGTCTAATACGCGTGCGAAAGAGAATCATCTCGTTCTGTATATATTTTTTTCTTTTTTTCTTCATTAACATGATCTCGACCTCTCAGCGAATTATAAAAAGTATACTGGTCGTTA